CTAGTGGTTAGAGGGGGAGGGGCTAAAAATAAGAGGGCTTGATGATGTCATCTGAAAAAGAAAGTTGTTTCAGAGGCAAACTTATGTGTACAGTTGGTAATGTTGACTCCCTGTTGACTTAGACTGGGTAACTTTAATTGCTGAGATACTCTTCCCTGCAGTGATGTAAGATCTGATATTTAACTTTTTTTTGTGATAATAGATAATTGCATCTGTGGAATGCCCGGCTTTGCTGTTCAGCCAGGCGTTCTCCTCCGGTAGCACTAATCATTGTGGGGAAGGGTGGGGGTGTACAGACAGCGCTAATCTCTGCAGGTCACAACAAGGATAGCGCAGCCACCTTCCTACCTGCACACCATCTGTCCGCCCTCATCAGCCTCTGACTTGCAACCATTCCTACTCGGTTACAACTATCTGTCAAAGCTCTCGCTTCTCTGAAACCAAGAGTAACTGCAGGGGATCTGGTGACTTGGCAGTATCTAGCAGTTTATTGGCCACTCTTCTTCAATTTGATATCTATTCGGTGCCATTTAGACAAAACTAACCTTTTTTTTTTTTACCCGAAGTTGACTTTGATAGCTTTGAACTATCAACTAAATTTCTCGGTTTTCAAAGAGTCAGAGTAACCTTTTAGGACTTGGCAATATCTTGTCATTTTTTTTGTCTAGGCCTACTCTTTGATGAGCTTTTTTCTTTAAATTTTTTTGCACTACTAAATGGAATTAGTTGAGCGAGAGTGTTGTTGTATCACATGCTCAAGCACTGCAGAACTGCATTGTTTGCACTTTTCAGAGGCGTGATCCTACAAATAGTTGACTCTGCATATTATACTAAGAGAAAGTAGAAGGTATTTTAACATAAAAAAAATGCACACTTGAACTTTAAAAGCCTTCACTTAGGCCTATATTATCTTGTCATCTGGAGAAACCTACCCAGTGTTTTGTCCTCATTTGAGCGAACAGCTGACAGGGAGACATTTGCATTGATTTGACTGGAATCACAGTTGTTTAAGGGAGAAACAAATTTTGGTTGGCAGCTATGCTTTGATTGTTTTTACAAGATTTTTGTTTTTACATGTGCGCTGTAAGGATGTAACGATTCGCTCAACTCACGATGCAATATGATTCACGATACTGGTTTCACAATATGATTTTCTCACTATTTGTTTTTTTTAGCAAAATGAGATAATAAACAAATTATTAAAAAAAGGTGTTATTACAAAATGCTGCACATTTCTTTGTGAAATTGAAATATCTTTTATATCAAATAACTAAAATTAATTTTATTTTAAAATAAATACCCAATTAAATAAATGAATAATACAAATAAAATAAAATCTTTTCATATACAAAAAATAATAAATAAACAAATATTTGTATATATCATCAGCATAAAATGCAATTTGTACAGAAAATGCATTTTAAGCAAAAACAGAATTAGCTTTGTGAAATTATGCTACATAAAACTACATAAAAGCATACGTTCTGAATGAGAATGCAAAATCACTCTCTGACAGTAGGTGGCGCTTATAAGTATTATTTTAATGTGCATTATACAGAGGCAAGATGAAAAACAATGTATATATAAAAGCCCATCCCAATTGTATTGTGATTCGTTTAACATCTCAACCAACTTGAATCGTCACATTTTCATTTATTTTTATTTGGCTTGGAGTGCATTGTTACATCCCTAGTGCACTCTTTTATAAACCCTGTGTTTGCTGCGCTTCACGAATTGTGTGATTGCACCTGGAAAAGAGAACCGAACAGGCCTGCGTATCCAAACTTTGGTGGCCCATTATGTCAGTTTATAAGCTTTAAGCACTTCTACTAGCTGACAGATTGTATTACTGAAGCACCCTTTAACTGTCATTCACCTCATAAATCAGACCATCAGGTTTCTGAGTTCTAAAAATACAAGAGGATTAATTGCATGAGGTCACATCTGACATGGTTTCTATCCCATTTTTTATGGCTTGACTCTCGGGGGTAAAGCTATGAAATTAAATCGTACCGTAGAGACTACGTGTGCGACGAGTATGGCAGGCTATTTAATTTTATAATCGTAAAATGGAAAGGCGCAGCGGGCGCTAGGAGTGTCCGACGGTGGAGCGTAGATTGAGAGATCCAAATGACTCTTTCTGAATCAACTTCTAACACCAGGGTTTTTGCCTTTCCAGGGCTGGGAATCTGCCTCTCTTAGGTCCCGTTCGAAGTGCTGCCAAAAAGGAAGCTTTGCTAATGTGTTTTTCAAGAGCTCAAATAGTGCCGCGCACAAGAATCTCAAATTACAGCTGCACTAGAACGTTTTTTTTTTTTAAATGACTGCTTGACAGTTTGGACCTTTGGACCAGTTATTTGACTGTGGTTCCTTGTCATCTTAGCTTATCGTAAGGCTGGATGGTGCATTCAGTGTTCTTGACTCAAGACTTCAATGCACATTTCAACTAAGGATGTGCAAAAATGTATATTAAAAAAATCAACCAGTTGGTTGCCTGAACAGTTTTAAAGTCGGTTTTGGGTTCTTCAGGAAAAGCATTGCAGATAGTATTATGTGTTTTGTTTTGTTTTTAATTTTATTTAATTTTATTCTATTCTATTCTATTCCAATAAAGCATTGCAGGTAATGTTATGAAGATTTGATTTTACTATTTATTTTTTATTGTTATATTTGATTTTATATAGATATTTTATCAGTTACTTTAAAGCTCATATCAAATAGAGGTCATATCAATGCTAACTTAACTAATACAAGAAGAGAAGGTATTATGTTTCCCAGTGGCTATTATTTTTTTTCTATCTCACTTAAATAAAGTGCATGCTTGTTTTAAATACCCTGTTTGTTGTTTTGTTGTTGCCGTGTCATTATTTCATGATTGCACTGTCTGCATTATGCAGATTAGCATGTATTTCTGTTACACTACACCTGTTGCATTTTTCTTAAAGGGTCGATTTCTCTCATTATGCCTCAATTACATTTTTCTTTTTTTGTAGGTGCACTCTTGTGGTTGCTAGGCATTATTGGAAATAGAAAGAAGAAACAGGCCCTTAGCAACAAGAGTGGAAAATGAAAGAAACACTCAAGCTCATTAGATTACACTAATACTCGCTGTGTGTTATTGGTGAAAGACAAAAGAAAGGTCCAGATCACCACAAGTCTTAATAAAAAAACTGAATCGATCAAGGCGGCTGTGGTCTGAATGGAATACTAATGTTTTGCCTTCTGCATGCTATATCATTGTGTCATGATTTCATTATGTTTCTTAATTCAGAGTGGCTTCTAGTTATCATCCAGACATTTAATTACATTTTTTTATTTAAAGATTTTTTTTTAAAGATTTATTTAAAAATCCGGCAGTTTGATCAAATAATGATGAGTCAAGAAAGAGATGCAGTTGATATTTCTTCAAATACAAGGTCCAGTTTAGTGCATTGCATTGTGGGATATGGTAGTAGTCACTGCAGCGTGTTTGTAAACTTCACATTTTAGCAAATATTGTAGCTCATCCTGGTGTTTCATGCTTGCATTGCACACAATGTTAGCCTACATATTGCATACTAAAAAATTAGTATGAGTATGATGATATTCCATTCAGGGCAAATCCAGGCGTCACGTGCCCTCTATAGCACACCTCAGAACATGTTCAGACTTGTTTTATTTAATGCATGCGATCACCCTAAAAAGGTTCAAAGCACTATAGTGTTGGATTCCATACACACAGTAGTTATTGTTTGGCACTTGTCTGTTAGCTTTGCTCTAAGTGGAGGGGACGTGGCCGTCATTACACAGCAAAGGGAATCTTAAGCGGCAGCTGCAGATTTTTACGGCCTTGTTTCGTCTGCTGCACAACCCCCACCCCTCCTCTCCTTCAGTTTGCACAAGAAAATATTTCCAGATGTTCCAAGAAAAGAGCTCTATTTCAGCGGCGAGGTCTGTGAGGTTCCCGAGTCCTGCCAGAGGTGGCGTATTACGGGACGATTGAGTCCTGCGGTGGTAGTTACGTTATAAGCTGCTGCAATTCCGACAGAGATTACTAGTTTTTCTGCCAGGGGTTATTAATGATGGATTGATAACGGAATGATCTGCGTCTATCTGTCTTTATGAATTATTGTTCTATCTGTGTATCTTTGTCTCTCTGTCTGTCTTTAGTTTTATCTATCTATCTATCTATCTATCGTTCTATCGCTCTATCTATCGTTCTATCGCTCTATCTATCGTTCTGTCTGTCTGTCTGTCTGTCTCTATTTTTCATTGTCTGTCTCTGTCTCTGTGTGTCTGTCTCTCTATATCTTTCTGCCTCTCTATCCTTTCTTACTCAGTGTTTAATGTGAGCCAGTCGAGGTGTTGTGGCACCCGTCGCTGACAGGATCGCGTCTGTAATATGCATCTGTTTCAGTCCTTTTCTGGCATTTGAACTCCTGCCAGGAATATCGCGCCGCTGCGTGTTTATTATTGGCTAAAACCTCTGGCATTACTCAACAGGTTAGGCAGTCTTAAATGGTTTAGGAAGGGGAGGAGTTTTCCTTTGGTGCTTCTGCGCCTCGGCGTTTGACCGAACGTGGCACTGCGCTTAATAGATATCACTGTTTTTTTTTCAAAGCATGCTTTGATGCAACATTTGATATACTTTGCTCCTGTGCTTTGCTTGTGATGTTCCTCATTTGTAAGTCCCTTTGGATAAAATTGTTGCTTAAATGACTAAATGATGGCCTCTGGTTAGGTAACACCCAATGCTTTCCATAAAAACATCTGTCTATCGTTCCTTTTAGGTGGATATTGTTGGTTTAATATGCAATTAAATGCACTCCTTTATTTAAAAAAAATTCTGTTCTTTAGGTTACTGCAAGTTTCAGGTGGTTTTGAAATATTTTTGCTACATGAACAACTGCCAGATTTAATAAAGTAATACTTAAATATAGAAAATTAAATTCTGTGCCAAATAGATGTGGAAAGTTTCTATTGTCCATGTTTCTTACCCAAATCTTGTCCGTCTTTTCCAGATCCCGAACAGAAGAAAGTGCCTTCTCTGACGACGTTCCTACTTGAAGCTGCTCGCCGCTCCCATCCTACACTGTAAACAACGCTGGCTTGGCCTCCGAAAAGATCTCAATTCCTCAGACTTGCCATAGCACAAGGAAACGACACGCTTTTTCCATTCACAAACTTTATTAGATATCGTTCCAAGGAGAGCCGTTGCCTTCAGATATTGCCATCCACAGCCATCGAGCTCAAGACCATTTAGAGACCTGGAGCATGTTCTTATTGTCGCGCCGTTGTTGTGCACCTGAGACTAAATGACTGATGAATGAGATTGACAGCCTCACTGATAGCCGCCATCTCCCATGCGACAGCCAGCGGGGGTCTGAATGTGACGTCTCTATTTAAAGGGCCTCGCCGACAAACCTCAAAACTAGACATAAAAAACCCCCACAGATATACGTTTGCAGACTATTTGAACCCGAAGCAACAATCCCACAACCGACACCATAGAGCCTGCAGGTTCTCAAACAGCTATGGCTTTAAACATCTCGTCGATGCGAGACACGAAATGGCTGACGCTCGAGGTGTGCCGGCAGTTTCAGAGAGGGACGTGCTCGCGCAGCGACGAGGAATGCAAATTCGCACACCCGCCCAAGAGCTGCCAGGTGGAGAACGGACGGGTGATCGCCTGCTTCGACTCGCTGAAGGTAAGGCCTGCTGCTTACTTGATGCATCTTTTGGGATTACGCATGACTTGCTGTATGTTTGTTAATTAGCTCGTTAATTAGTCCTTGTTCGAGTAAAGATTTATATTGAGTAATGAGTAAATTAACAAGAAATGTGTCAACGATTCATATTTCAAAGAGAGTTAATGCGCCCGCTTGCTTGGCGGCGAAACAGTGAACCGTGTCTACACCGGACGAGACACCGCCGCGTCGCAACAGGTTGAGTTTCTCTACAGGACATTTGAACTCTGTGTCAGTAACTTATAAACAGGACGAGGCAGTTTACTGTTGGGGATTTGTCATGTCGTGTCGTGCCGCATCCAGTGTAGCATCACTGATTATAATGAGTTCTATAGTATTTTGTCGTGTCGCGCCGCGCCGATATATATATATATATATATATATATATATCCTATCAACACCGCACCACCGGTGGTAGTTGGTCCATTACCACCACGGTGGTAAAAATCTGCCACCATCACAGCCCTACTGTTAAACATGATTCTTTTAAAAGTAAGTTGGAAAAGTGTGGGCTGATGGCTTTAACAAAAGCATATACCATTGATTAACAACCTTGTAGCTCACAGTAGGTCTGTCTTTAACAGTTTATAAGTGATCAATTATTGTTAAAAGTCAATTCCTCTGAGAAAATTACTTCTGGAAACTTGGCGGTTGTGCTCTATTTCATGAGTGTAACTGTAAGCTATTTATGTGTCGTTTAGCTAGTGTATATTGATGACTTTTAGAGCTGGAATTGCTTGTGTTATATGTAATTTCACATTGATCATTGTGCATAAACACCGTTTTTGACTGTTGATCAATTTCTAGGCAGTAATTATTATGTAAATGAAGCACGGGAACTCACTGCGCCCGGTATTTGACCGAGCGAACGTCAACAACATTTTTTGAGGATACTTTTTGTGTTGCTGGCAAATAGCTTGCCTTAGTGCAGCACTCTGAAATTAGAGTGCATGTGTCAGCGCTGCCACACTGCATACTGCACACTTCAAATAAAGCTGACCTATAGAGAGCGAAAGGGCAGCGCTGCTCTCTCATCCAGCCCATTTTATATCTTTCCATCTAACGTTACCATGCCACGTCCGTCATTTGTACGGCCTGCCATTGGGTTTCCGTGAACGTTGATGCTACTTTTAGAACCTTGACCATGTGCAAAACTAACAAAAACATAAATGCAGTGACCGATAATTAAAGCATCAGATGTTAGCCCATACTGTGTGGTTAAATAAATAAACTGGACGATGCACTCGCACATAACTGTATTTTTATTAAAAAAAATTTGGTCGGTAAGTTTTCGTTAATATGTTAAAAGCATCTCTAATTTCAGTAGCACAAAATGGCATTGAAGAACTCTTGAACTGATTAAAATCTCAAACATTATTTACAGTCCAAACAGGATATTTTTCATGCATTAAAATGTTGTAGTGCATCATCAACTGAATTCTATGATAATGCGCCAAATCAACAAATCTGCAATGAATTTATTGAAGGATAGTCTATTAATGGAGGTTTCTAAGATAAAACACAATGCTTATAAAGATGCACTTAAATAACGTTCAAAAAACAGGTGCGTGTTTGCTTGTGCATGACTGTTGCAGTAAATGAGGCGAATTTAAAGATGCAACTTTTGGAATAGAGATTTAAAGCATCACTAAAATATTTTTAAAAGATCTTACAATATGTGAGATACATATAATTTAGAAAAAATATCAATTTTTTAAAATTCTATATTAATATCTGTATCTTTTCTTATATTTGTATTTTTTCTTACTGAGAATTTTTAAGCAGTGTTTTTAAACAATTAATTTCACTGCATAACGAGTGGCATTCACTTTAAACCACTGTAAATTAAAAACAATAAGATTCCATTATAGTTTTCAATCAGTGTTTTTAATTAATTTTTATCATTTTAATTTTAATTTTAGGTTTCAGTAATTTTCTTACTTGTTTTGTTCTTTCTTGTTTTTTTTATTAGCTGTTTATTTTTTAATATCTTTATATTTTTATTAATTTTTATATGACTTAATATTAGTTTTAGTTTACATTTGTTAGGACATCAGGTTAAACTAAATGAAAATGAGACATTGCCTTGGCAACTAGCTGGAATAAAATCAGTTGAATTCTTTAAATATTTTGTGTAATTGCAGGTAACGATTATTTTATTTCAAGCAACACATGAATATGGTTTTTGTTTTAGTTTAATAACCCTGCCAGTTTTGCATGGGCAAGCACCAATTTCTTTTAACAATACATAATGTAATGGCAAATATTATTAATAATAACATGAATTATTTATGAAACATTGGTGTCTTTTATCGTATTCTTGCGGAAAACCATGACACTGTGCTTTATAGTGATCACAAAGTGATCTTTTGGTTTAATCTGGGTCACGTAATGTTTCCCGACACAGATGGTCATGAGGCGAGCGATACGGCAGCTCACATGTTTTAATGCAGGAATACACTGCACCGGTGACATTGACAAATGCGCAGTAAAACTGGAGCAGGTCCAATCTCTCACAGGAATAATAGACTTAAGAAGATACTTACCTTCATGTGCGCTGCAGTAAATAAATAAAAAATGAACTGCTTACACGCTCTGCCGTTTGTCGCGCAAGTTAGGCAAGGTCACTATGTAGGTCAGTGTCAGAGGATAGTGTTAAGAGCGCTTTAGGCCACGAGGCATGAGTGTGGTATCAAAGCAGTCGACCTGTGAGATCATTAGAGTTACTTATGCATAAAGCTGGATAGTTGAACGATGCATTGCATTATGCTTTTGGCTGATTGTGCCAGCATTTGTTGGTTTATGGCAGGCCTAAAGCTGATATGTGACAGTTTAAAAGGATCTAGTGAAGTACTTTAACTTGTATTGTTTTTCTGTCTGCATTTAAATAAGCCCAAGCTTGTGAAATCATATTAACCCCATGGTCGTTCGTGCTCTGGGTTTCAGTTCGCAGGGCGGAAGTTGAATTCATTTTGGCAACATCAGCCTGTAAAACAGTTTTTAGTGTCGTCTCTTCTCTGTTATTCAGAGGTGAGTCAAAGATCTAGTGAATTACTGTAATTTGCCATCGACTTACGGTCTATTACGGCAGTTGAGTTCTGTCAGAGAAGACAGCTGCCTAATGCAATAACAACCGCCTTCAGTTAGGATCCAGTCTGTCTGTCTTTCCACAATCATCCGAACAGTTTTGTACATCATATTGTTGTTAGGGTTTTCTGGGTGGTTGCTATGTGGCCTTCATGTGACTGAAACAAATCTGAGCCTTAAATTGCCAACTCTCTTGCTTGGACTTAAGAAATTACACCCAGACATATGGATTCTCAGTCTAAAAACTGTTTAAAATTCAAAGAAAATATTTAGAATCTATTCTTTCTAAATTATAATAATGTATAATATATTTATAATTTATTTTCTCATTAATTAACAGGGCTGGGCAATGTATTAAATATATTTATTGTGATATTTTTACTGGAATAATAAAAAGCTGCAACGATTTTAACTTTTCATTTTTCTTGTTTATTAAGTTTCCCAAAACATGCCATTAGACCTTTATAGTATGCAATCCAATCTTTTGTGTTTGGTTCGGTCCTCTGACCTCTAAAACTGAGTATATTCATCTTGAAGATTGCGTTTTCTGTATTAATTAAATCTCAAACACAGGGGCCCATTGAGCTGCTGTCTTTGGCCCCTGGGAGTCGACGGTCATCAGTTTGTCTCATTGACTCGCAGCCGGAGGTGCTGCGCAGAATCGTGAGCTCCTCCGACTGCGATGACCTTGCGAAGATGCACAAAAGGCCGAGTTGTTTTCCAGTCAGCCATGTGCTCTGCATTAGCTGATAATGAATCCGGTCAGTGGGCTCATTTGTAGCGTTCACGCTTTCATTGTGACGCCGTCCTGCTGCCCTCAGCATTTGCACAGCGGCGTGAGATTCTGTGTGTCCTGTGGAAGTGCAGGTGTGTGCTGCATTGTGCTGTAAGATCTGGCCAGAGTCCGCTGCCATGAACTACGCTTTCCATTTTTATAGACGTACAGCACAGCCAATTTCCTGCTTGACCGCAGCATGTTCAAGGCCGTGACTTTTGAGTCCAAGAACAAACAATCACTTTTGGGGAGTAACACGTTAAAACTTGCGCTACTAGCTTTGCGTCTTTTTCAGAATTTGTTCAGAATTGTTCGTCTTTTCAAGTTACATCAGTGTTTTTTTTCACATTTTATTGTGCTTTTTTTGTATTGAATAAATAATTGTTGCATTAACTGACTTTTTTTTGTGCGAGATAAATACTGCTGTGATTTATTTTTTTAATAAATGTAAAATGTATTTATTTATTTATAATATTTTTTACATTTTTTATTTATCTATTTATTTTGCTTTATGAAGCATTTTCGCTTTCAGGATATTTTTAAATGATATAATTTAACTACTATTATATACTATAATATTTATTTGTGTCTACAGCTTGTATTAGCACTATGTCTATGGTTCAGTTATATAAATGATGTAAATTTTAAATTAAAATAATATATAATGTGTACTGTATGTGCATTTAGTAGTAGGCTATATTTTTAAAATATTCAATGCTATTTATATTAATTTGTCTGTTGTCTGTAATATATAATTACTTTTTTAAAAATACAATATTAATCTTTTAACAATAATAATAATACTTTAAAATGTTTCATAATAGTAAATAGCAATATATTTTATAATTTAGAATTCAGTGTAATTGTGTGCTTTATTTGAATAATTTGTTTATATATATATATATATATAAACACACACATTTACTGTATATACACACATACTTCAGATATATTACAATAACGTTTTAAAAGTATTTAACTGTGCACATTATAATTTTTATATTTAATGCATTTTTAATCGAATTAATTTTGTCAATTTTTTCTTTAACCAAAGATAATTTTACAATATATCAAATATAACCTTTTTGTTTATTTAGTA